GGATCCCTGCAGAGCACACCCGACTATGCATGGGATTGGAGTCCACAACCCCGCCTGTCAACAAACATATATTCTTTATACACATATCTAGTTAGATTAGATATGTTTGTTATAGCCTAGCTAGGTCAGTTCTTAGAGGGGACAATATTGGTACTTGTATCTCCCCTCCCCTCTTCCTAGTCATACTTTTTCCCGCCACTCTAACATGGTATTGAGCTAGGTTATAATTTTTTCCGCCGTTACTCACGCTTCCGCCGTTACCGTAGAAACTCTATTTTTTTCGTGCGTGTCTCGCTCTCTCAATTTCACGAACCTCCCCCTCTCTAATTTCGTGCCCCGTAGTCTCGAAACCTCTCCCCCCCCCCCCCCCCCCCCCCCTAGCGTTCCCCTCGTTTCGTACACTAGCCAGCCGACAAGTGAGCCACCTGGCAAACTCGCTCGCCAACCAGCTCGCCAGCCAACTAGCTTTCTAGCTCGCCCGGCCCACCTGCGCCAGCCTGCCGTCCAGCCCTTAGCCTGCAGTTTCACGCCTGCTGGCCGCCGCCGGCCTCTGCTCAGCCCTCAGTGTCTCGCCAGCCAGCTAGCTGCCCGCTCGCTAGCTAGCCAGCAGGTTAGCCAGCTAGCTAGCCAACCACATTAGCCAGCAGCATTAGCCAGTGCAGCCACTGCTGCTGCCGCTACCGCCGCTGCCGCTGCTCCCTGTGCCTCTGCTGCTACCGCCGCTGCCCCTGCCGCTGCCGCAGCCGCCACTGCCACTGCAGCCACTGCCTCTCCCGCCACTGCCGCTGCTGCAACCTGCGCTGCCGCCGCTGCAGCTGCTACCCTTGCAGCTGCCACTTCCGCTGCTGCCCTTGCAGCTGCCGCTGCCCTTGCTGCCCTTGCAGCTGCCGCTACCACTGCTGCCAATGCAGCTGCCACTGCTGCCAATGCGGCTGCCACTGCTGCCAATGCAGCTGCCACTGCTGCCAATGCAGCTGCCACTGCAGCTGCTGACCTTGCAGCTGCCACTGCAGCTGCTGCCCTTGCAACGCCACTTCCGCCGCTGCCTGTGCAGCCGCCTCTGCCGCCACTGCACTTGCAGCCGCTACTGCCACTGCTGCCCTTGCAGCTGCTGCTGCAGCCGCTGCCCTTGCAGCCGCCACTGCCACCGCTGCCGTTTGCAGCCGCCACTGCCACCACTGCCCTTGCAGCTGCTGCTGCCGCCACTGCCCTTGCAGCCGCCTCTGCCGCCGCTGTCCTCGCAGCTGCTGCTGCCGCCACTGCCCTTACAGCTACTGCTGCCGCCACTGCCCTTACAGCCGCCTCTGCAGCTGCTGCCCTTGCAGCTGCCGCGCTGCCTCCTGCAGCTCCCACTGCCACTGCAGCTGCCGTTGCCGCCGTCTCTCTCCCGCTGCAGCCGCCACTGCAGCTGCTCTTGCTGCCAGCAGCCACTGCAACTGCACCCGCTGCTGCCATTACCGCCACGGCTAGCCTGCAGCCGCACAGCCGCCTCCGCTAGCCAGCTCGCATAGATGCCGCCGCTAGCCAGCTCACCGCTGGATCGCCGCCGTCGCCACCCCGCTGATAGCTAGCAGCCACCGCTACCATCGGCTCCCACTGCAGCCCCCCTGCTGCCCCTATTGCAGCTGCCTCTGCTGTCCCTGCTTCTGCCGCCTCTGTCTTCACGGCCGCAGCTGCCACCACAGTCGCCAGCATGGCGTCGCCCAGCGTCTTCGTTCTGCGCTTGGATGGGGAAGGGCGGGCAGTCAGTTTCGCCACCTGGCAGGAGACAGTTCTCCTGCAGCTCATGAGTCAGCGCATTGACGACGAGTCCCTGGACGCCCATGTCTCTAGTGAGCCCCCTGTTGTCCCCCGCCCGGGCGCTCTTGCTGCTGACGCGACATCTGCGTAGCAGGCTGTGCATGCGGCTGCTCGTACTGCCTACACTAATATATGGCTGTCCCGCGATGCTACTGCTCGTGCCGCCATCCTCACGTGCCTGCCGGTTAACGAGCACTCCCACTTTGTGGGTGCTGCATGAGTCCGCGCCCTCTGGCTGGCTATCCTCGCTAGGTACTTCACCCTGTCGTCTGCCACTCTTGGTCATCTCATCCTCCCTTTCTTCCACCCCGACATGATGTCCTTCACCACTGTAGCAAACTTAGTCGAGCACCTACGCTCCCTCAAGGCCAGCTGGCGTGCGGCCTGTACTGAGGCCCAGCTAGCACTCGCCCCGACCCCCCTCTTCGCCATTATCAACTTCCTTGTCACTCGCCTCCCTGACCGCCTTGCCCCTACTCGCGATGCGCTCCTCGCTCGTCACCTCTCTGAGCTTTCCATAGACCTTTTCTCCACCTCCTTGACTGAGGTAGAGGATCGCCTTCGCACCATCGTTAGTTCCAGTAGCGCGCTGGCAGTCCCTATCTTTCAATATCTATACCTAGAACTATCGAGGCTGCGGAAAGAAAATAGGAACTCAAAGGAAATTAGACGCAACCCTAAATTGACTCGAAAGCCTAGGAAGCTATGAACGACATACATGTGCTATTAGTAATGGCTCTGCTGAGGAGATTGGTCTGCCAAGAGGACAAGAGGTGAAAGAAACCCTGAAGTTGTTGGACTCTCGTCGCAATTTAAAACTTTTAAAAATTGAAAGCGTTCAATATTTTCATAGGCGGGGGGGGGGGTTCGTTAACCCCATACACATTACCATACTACAAATATAGCACGTACGGATTCGGAAAAAATTACTCGTCAAACAAAGAAATCACGCGAAATCGTTTCCGTAAGTTGGACAGATTCGGGGAAAAATCACACCGCAAAAAAGCGAAATTGATGGAAATTTTACTCTTAATTTATCGACATTAAGGGTAATTACCTTGTTAGCAAGAAGCAAGGATCTCGTTGCCTCTTGTTTGTTGTTGCGGTTTTTACCCCCCATGTTTGCATCTGCCCAGGAGAAGCAGTTTGCGGGGTGGGGGAAATTTTCTCTAGTACCTTTCTAGAAAATCCAGCGGACGCTTTCCTCAATTTTGTTCACTTGTTGGTGCGGGAAGTCGCGCAAAGTCGCGCTCGCACCTTCCTGAACTCTAAATCCACCTCGACTCCACTTGCTTGCAGAGCCCAGCCTATGTCTCGGAGCTGCTGATGTGTGCGAGAAATTGAGAATCTTGCATCTTCTTTTTCGAAGTAGGCGGCCCGAAACTAGACTCGAATACACCGAATAGAGAGGATGAATAGACCCGTAGATACTCAGGCTGGTGAAATTTCCAGATGGCAGAATAAAGAAGCAGCTCAGAAATTTACCCAGTCGCACCCTTTGCTACACGTCAGTGCCCTCTTGTTCCACGTCCCTTCATGCCTTGTCCCACGCGGACGCCCGGAGAAACCGCTCTGGCTCGAACCACAACGACGGACATCACGCAAATTGCAGACGCCGATTGAGGATCTTGGCGTGTGCTGCCAGGTCAGAAACAAGACTATTGATGTAGGATCTAGCTGAAGTGGATAATGTTTTGCAGGTTGCGTTCCCACTGAAGCTTCAGTCGATTGTCCTACTTTCTGACTCTGGCATCCACCTCCGCGACCACCCTAATATATTCCCTAGCCAGTCACAGCCTTTTTTCCAGATATATGTAACCCTTCATCCTGCTTTGTGACTCTGCGACCTTCCTCTCCTATTGAAAACAGGGCCTTACAGCGTATGGTGGCGCGCAGCGACACTTGCAGCCCTGAAACTTTTCAATGCTGTCAGATTCACCTGCCACCACATGCTGGTTATCCAGATTCCGCAAACCGCTCCTCGCCAATCCCCAATACCCTTCCCCCGTGCAGCTGCGCTTCTAGAGCAAGGCTCTGGCTATCAGAGGAATTACCCTTATGTCACGAAATTAAGAGTTGTTCTCGACTTGATTCCGTTTTTTTTGCATAGTAAAAGGTTTTTGATTCCGTCTGCCTAACGGATTGCTTTTCGTGTGATTTCTCGAAATTGCGGGTTACTTTTCTTTGATTCCGTACGAAGTGCAATTGCAGTAGGGGATCTGTTCGTAGTGGTGTATCACCCTTTCTCACCCTTCCCTCTACTTTTCCCAACTTCCTCCACCCAAGCAAAGCGGGTGGTTAGTTGCCCGGAGTTTTTCTACTCTTCCAACTGCCTCAGGCGTAGAATGCGGGGGGAACAGTCCCCGCGGTTTCGATGGCTTTCCCTTGGCCGTGGCCAAGGCCATTAGCCTTCAAGGATGTTACTGTAGTATCAAACCAAGTGTAGCTCTTCGACGAATCCGTATGCTAACGGGTAAACTTTCGGCGATTCCGTCCGCTAACGGGTATTTTCGGGGGCGATTCTGTGACCTTGGAATACCCTAGGCTTAGCGAGAGCCCTGTTCTAGAGAGTGATCAACCCCTTTATAGTGCAACTCGTTACAGCGTGAAACGGGCAGTACGTGCAGGGCACGCCATTGGCTGCATGGCTCCACCTGAAAAGATCCTCCCACTTTGCAGCATCATGCCCACCTTTTCCTCTCCCTCCTATCTCCTCCCCCACCCCCACACTGTATGTGTTCCCCCTGCCAGCTCCCCTCCCCTGTGATCCCTGCAAAAAGGGTTCCTCCGCCAGATCTTTTTGCATGGCTGCTGCTTGCACCCTTTCAAACCCCACTTCATCACATCCCACCAGTTTTATCACATCCCATCCATGGTCCATCCTGCTGACCCTGTCGCCCCCCCTTACCCCTTTGACCACCACCATCCTTCCCATCTCCCAGCAACCATTCACATCATCCAGCTGGTCGTACTGCTTCAATCTCCACATTGCTTCACACCAATTGTACACCTGACCAGCTTCTCCGCAGCCGTAAGATTCGTCCAGGAGCGACCGATCCACCGTCGATTCTCCCCACACGCAGTCATCTCCCTCCCCTTCACATGCTCGCTGGTCACTCGTCTCCTTCCCCTTGACTCTCACACAGGCACCACCTCCTCCTCAGGCTCTCCCTTCATTCGCAGCTCCCATTGCCATATTGGCCAGCCTCACTTCACTCTCTCCTTTGTCACTTCACTTCTCTTCGCTTCTCCCCACTCCTCCTGACCAGCCGGGCTGGTCAGCCAGGATTCCAATCTCATATCTTGACGGAGCAATACCGTCGCCTGTACCATATCTGTCCTAACTAGTCTCAGCGAAGTTCGTGATTCGTGAGGTATTTCGCCAAACTTCGTTTTAATGGCGTCGCTTCTCGCAGCGGCCTTGCCGTCTCTTCAGTGCATGTCCAGCACGCGAGTCGCATCAAATGAAGCATTCGAATCGCACGGTCCAACGGTCCTCTCTTCTGCCACTCTCGGCATAACCTCGGGTCCAGGTTCGGCGGCCAGCGCCGCTCTGGCTGCAGCTTCGGCGTCAGGCTCGGGAGCAGGCTCGGTGAAGGTGATCTCCGTGGTTGGGGAAGCTGGTAACCTGGTTTCGCAGGGAATCACGTGTGCTCATGGCGACGGGAGGGGCGGGAAACGCGTCAAGTACATGGAGAAGCATCCCCTGGAGAAACATTCCTTGGAGATTCACCCCCTGGACAATTATCACAAGGATTCCTTCCCCGGCGGCATCAGCTGCCAGGTACGGACATGGCTGCTGATATCGCGATTCAGAGTGATCAGGGACTTCCGATGCCGTCAGTGGTCAAAAGGTTTTGCCGCTTTCGCGGTTCTGGCGGCAACAGGAGGCATGCTGGCTGGAATGTAGAGTTGGTGCGGCCTGATCGGGGTTCAGAAGCAATCCATTCAGGATCACAGAATGGTGAACCGGCAATGTATGGATCAACCATGCGTCACCATGCGTCACCATGCGTCACCATGCGTCACCATGCGTTACCATGCGTCGCCATGCGTCACTATGCGTCGCCATGTGTCGCCATGCGTCGCAATGTGTCGCCATGACCGATTCCTCGCCACAGTCTGTTGTTTTTCAGCCTGCCATGCCGCCATGCCCACCATGTTCGCTGACCAATTGCCATACGACCATTGTCCTGGCTGTTAGGTAGATCCGCCTCACGTCCCTTCCGCACCCGTTTCACGCTCATCTTTCATCCCTTGCATGTCTACCCCTGAGCCGTCGCATGTTCGTCCCTCATCCGTTTCATTCTCAACCCTAATCAGTTTCATCTTCATCCTATTTCCGTTTCCTGGTAGTTCAACTTCCACATTCGACGGTTCCGTTCATCCCTATTCCGGTTCGTGTTCGTCCTTTTTCTCCCGCCGATTAAGCCACCGGCTCATCCCCTCATTCCATCGCACCACATTCGCTGTCTCCGTTATCTCCCTCTCTCCTCACCCATCATCCCTCTCTGTCCCCTACGCCATCAGACAACAAGCGCTGCCATGTCCGCACCGCCTGCGCCGATGCCGCCTCCGCCGGACCGCGTCTCCGCTAAGCACGCTCCGAAGCCCGCCACGTCTGGCGTCGCCTCGGCGCATCGCGCACCCGCGTCGCCTGCTTCGAAGTTAGCGGAACCAGCGGCGGTACTTGCGGACGGCATTCCGCATAGTCACAATCGCAGCGGCACGGTGGATCATGATCTCCCCCCGTTAGTGTCACGCGCGGCTGTCGTAGAGGCGAGTCCGCTCGGGCTGACGCTTCGCAAGACGCCATCGCTGGTGGAGTTCATTTCGCACAGGCTGTCGCAGGGCGCTGGCGACGCTGGTGACGACGGGGCGGGCGACGGTTCTGGCGACGTGGATATGGCAGAAGAGGCGCGGGTAGGCGCACCGAGCGGCGAAGAAGGCGGAGAACCCGCGGGACCCGCGCGCGGGATGGGCGGAGGGGCGGCACAGCGGACGGCGCGCGGGATGGGCGGAGGGGGAATGAACAGCAGCAGCAGCAGTAGCAGCAGCGAGGCAGAACTGAGCAACTTGGGGTCGGCGCGGGGCAATAGCGCGCGGGGGAATGTAAGCGGAGGACGGGAGGCGCCTGTCCGACCTGGTAGCGCTCCCCCGCATGGGCAGGCGCAGGCGCAGGGGAAAGGGATACCGGCGCTAGTGGCGTTTGGCGGACGCCCCGCCATGGCGGGTGGTGCTTTCCCGTCCTCAGACGGCGCGTTGGCGGCGTCAGACGGGGCGTTACCGGCGTCAGACGGCGCTGCGATGGCGCTAAGCGCGCCGTTCGCGCCAGTGCCGCCGTCGGACAAGCTGAAGGCGTCCAACTTCCCCGCGACGAGAATGGCGATCGGCAGCTGGGAGGTGAGAGGGGGTTGCGGATGTAGCAGGCTGTAGCGCAGATTTAACGCGGGTGTAATGGGAGATAGTGCAAGGTGGAAACACATCACGAGGCGCATGAGTACATGCGATGGTTGTAGCACGAGGACAATGCACGCAACACCAGTGTACCATACAGGTGTGATGGAGTCAGAGGGGTGAGAGACACTTGTTGCCATACAGTGCGCAAAGCGCCATTCAAAGCGGAATGATGGTCCCCCCTCCAATCATAAAACCTCTCTAAACCCCTGTTGGACCTTCCTCCCATATCCTGTCGCTTGCCCATTATTTTCCCTGATCAATCCCTCCCCTCCCCCTCTCCCCCCCCACACACACATTCCCGCCCCCCGCTTCCCATACCTCCAGAGGCACAGCAAGTACGAGGGCGACCTGGTGGCTAAGTGCTACTTTGCTAAGCGCAAGCTGGTGTGGGAGGTGCTGGAGGGCGGGCTGAAGAGCAAGATCGAGATCCAGTGGGGTGACATCGCCTTCCTCCGGGCCTCCACCAACAAGGGCGAGCCAGGCGTGCTGGAGATAGAGGTAGGCGGAGATATAGAGCCATGGGTGTGCTACAAGTGCGACTCAATCAGGGACAGTACTAGAGTGGGGGGCGGAGAAGGGTTGGGGGGGGGGCTGGGCTCGAGAGCAAGATGGCGATCCCATAGGGCGATACTGCCTTATGGAGTCCCGTACGAGTATCGCCCTATGGGTTCTTCATAGGGCTGGGCGTCCAGCAATTGGGGCGAACCAGGCATGCGGAAATGGCAGTGTGTGTGATTCTTTGCAAGATACAGTCCCAGACATCGGCTCCTCAATGGAATCTCATGTGGCTTCTCCTTTGCATCGTCTCGTTGCAACACCTCATTCACTCTGTTCCCTCGCCCCCTCTCCCTCCATCTCCTTGCTTCTTCCTCCCTCCCTCCCCTCCCTCTCCCTCCCTCCCCCACTCCTCCCCCCAGGTGTCGCGCCCGCCGCAGTTTTTCAAGGAGATGAATCCGCAGCCTCGCCGCCACACGCTCTGGCAGTCGACGCCGGACTTCACTGCCGGCCAGGCCAACTCCTTCAGGTGAAAACAGCAGAGATTCGGGTTGAGGCGGGCATTCAGGTGGTAGAAATCCGATTGCAGGCTGGCGGTTGCTTGGTTATCGCCCTTCAATTCGATGCATGCAATTTATGTGAGGCTACACTTGCTTTCCCCCTCGGTGCTTTTCTCCTCCCGACTGCACCCCCTTCTGTTCCCCGCCGTGTGGTCCATCTTTTCTCCCCTTCCTTTCCCCACTTCTCCCGTCTCCCCCTGTCAGGCGCCACACGCTGCACTTCGCGGAGGGCGTGTTGAACAAGCACCTGGACAAGCTGCTCGCCAGCGACCCCCGCCTCAGAGACCTCGTGCACGGGCTGCACAGGCAGGGGCAGGGGCATGCGCGGACGCAAGTGCATCCCCGCACACAGGCGCACCCGCCCTCGCTCCCCCACGCGCATGTGTATGGCAGGGACGCGGTGCCAGGACCTTCACACATGGCAGGCGCGGGGGGAATGGGCGCAGTGGGAGGGATGGGAGGGTTGGGAGGGATGGGAGGGTTGGGAGGGATGGATGGGCTGGCGGCGCATGGGCATGGCAAGCCCGCTGGCTCGCACGGGGCACTCCACTACAGGGCACATGCAGACCCGTTCGCATTCACGCATGCACATGGCCACGGGGTTGCAGCCCATGGCATGGGGCATGGCTTCGGGCATGGAGCAACGGGCCATGGGGATGGCAGCATGCACCGGCATGGGCAGGCGCATGCGAGCATGCATGCGGTGGGCGGGCATGGGAGCATGGGCGAGGGGGGAGAGGAGTCTGGGCGAGGGAAGCCGAGGCAGGGAGCAGCACATGTGCCGCCGCCCTACCCCATGCTGCCAGCTGGGTACTTCCCTCCTCCGCTCCTGCCTCAGGTATGTTCCCTCCCCTCCTAACTCCCTCCCTCCGTCGATCACCCACTCCTGCTCTCGCGTTTTTTGTTCCATTATCATCCTGCCATTCACTCTCGTCCTTTCGGCCTGCACTTCCTCACCCTTCCTCGTTCTCCCCTCCCCTCGTCTTGTTGTCTGCAGCCCTTCTTTCCTCCGCCCCCCATCATGCCTCCGTTCCCCGGCCACCACCTGCCACCACCCCCATCAACACTATCACCCTCGTCACAGTCACCATCGGCATCAGCAGCACCATCAGCAGCAGCAAGAGGGGCAGCATCAAGGGCATCAGACCCTCGCTCTCCCCGCTCCGCGCCCTTCCCTCCATTCCCCTACTTCCCCTCCCACCCCTACCATCCTCTGCCCTTCCCTCACGGCGGATTTGGGACTAGCTCATACGAGAGGGAGAGGGGCGAGGAGGAGGAGGCGGAAGAGGAGGAGGAGGTGGGGATGGAGGAGGGGGACAGGGAGGCAGTGAGAGCGGCGGTGGGAAGGCAGGAGAAGGACGAGGGGGGCGAGGAGGACGAGGAAAGGAGTGGTTATGGTGGTGGTGGCAGAGCAGCAGCGGGCAAGAGGGGTGGGTATCCCCCACCTCCGTCTTACCCTCACGTGTCCCACCCCCTCATGTGGCCCTCGCACATGGGCGTAGCCCCTCCTGCCTTCTGGCCGCCCTTCCCTCCTTCTCCCTTCCCTGCCTTCCCTCCCGCTCCTCCTCCTCCTCCCCCTACCCCAGCAGCAGCAGCAGCAGCAGCAGCAGCAGCTTCTGTTTCTGTTGCTCCTGGCTCAACAACGCACTACCCATTCAGCCGTATGCATGGCCATGCCATGCACATGCATCCCATGCATGCCGCCCCTCCCCTGCACCCACATGGGATGCATGCCACCGCCATGCTTCCTCACCATCCCTTCATGCCGCCATCCCAGCACCCCGCCCACCACCACATCCCCACCCCTGTGGATGCTAGCCAAATGGGTCCGGCGCACATGCACAGCAGCAGCATCAGTAGCGGTCATGTCTCGATGTGCAAGGGAGGGCACAGCAACAGCAGCAACAGCAACACCCCCATCCCTCCCCGCGGCAACAAGAACATCAAGAGCAATGGGCTTAACACTAGCAGCAACGGCAACAAGGGCAGCAACGGCAACATTCCCATCAGCAGCACCAGCAACAGTGGCATGGGGAGTGGTGGCCTGAGAGAAAGCACCTCCCCAATTCATTCGTCTTTTCTGGAGGAGGTGTCATCCATGTTCTGTGACCCACTGCCCTTCCACTGACCACCCCCAGCACCTTACCACCAACAAGCTGCCGCCACGCCATGCCATGCCACGCCATGCCATGCCATGCCACGCCATGCCATGCCATCGTAATGATCCCACACCCCACAAGCACTGTGTCGCATTAGAAGCTCCCAGATTCCGGAGCGCGACCTACCAGGACCAACAGCTTCCCCGGTCCACTCTCTTTAGCTCGTCCTTGTGTTCTCACTCCACGTTCAGCAATCAGTTTCTACAGCTCCTAGTTGGGGGAAGCCTTCAGTCGTCGACCCTACGGCAGCACACGTGGCAACAGCATGTTTTCATGTAACAGTTACCAGCATGACCTTGACAGCGAAATATGGTGACAGTTGAATATTATAGCCTCGTTCGGCATCGCAGGTTTGGAGGCCGCTCCAGTATTTGTTTGAAGGGATGATTGTCCCTTGGGCTTGCAGTCTGGAAGCACCAGTCCCAGTTTTGGTGGTCTCTCTCGTTGCATGTCACGCAGTGCAATGCAACTTCCATCGACCTGTTACTCGCCGACAGCATTGTTCTCTCTGAGAGTCTGAGGCAGGTGTGGCACACCACTCTGCTCTCTTTTTTTTCGCGTTACACTTGGGTTTCAGCTAGGATTTAGGGCTGACTGAGAATCGGGTTTCAAAGTTTGGTCTGACAATCAGACGAAAAAATTAGGGGAGTCTCTGGGCGAATTCCTACAAAGTAGGATCAGAATCAAGAATGTTTCTGATCCTACCATTTTACGTGGAGATCAACAATCTTGTAAAACTATCGCGTGCGAAAAAGGATGCATCGCATGTTCCGACGTGTACACCCTTGTGTCCAACACAGAACAAATCCACGGCTGCCCAGACTTGACCATGCAGGTTGGTAGTTTCAAAATCTTCGCCATGCCGAATCTGACTGGGAAAAAGTGCGCTCCAATCACAAGCAATGGAATTTTTGTGCCCGTTACGTGCTTTACGTGATTTTTCGGGTTTTTCTGTTTCGCCTCGCTGCACGTTGCGCGTCGGCGAACTTTTGCTACGCTGTGCTTGTTTGGCGCTCGTTTAGGGCTGTGACGAATAAGTTTGTAGGGGCAGCCAATCGGGCGTCCTTGTGCGACGCTGAGGTGGCTGCCCTCGTTTCTGATCTTGGCATAATAGACCGGACAAAGGGATCACAAATGGATTTCACGTTTCTGATTCTGATCCTACTTCATAGGAATTCGCCCTGAGATTTCAGACGAAATTTTGCGCAGGATAAGACGAGTGCAATATCGACTTCGATTTTCCAGGTTCCGTCCAGGGCCCGATCAGCCAATTTTGGCGACGAGAGGCTCACAGGTACCCTAAGAGTGTGTTCCTCTTGTCAGTGACGCCACTTATCAGACTCGCGTGGTACTGTACATTACGAATTCGATGCGTGCTGGTTGGGCCCGTTTGGAATGGTTGAACCCGAAAGGTGAAAAGTGGCTCGCCTGATGAGGGGTCTTAGTGTCAACATATAATTCTACCGGTACCGGTATATGTTATAGGCTAGATAGGTGCATGCTCATAGAGAGTACAACACTCTATGTTATATCCCCTTGTATCCCCTAATCATACTCAATTCATTACTCTGAGATGGTATCACGCGCTAGGTTGGGTTCTCCCCGCCCACCCGCGCTTCCGCCCTAGTCCTAGTCCTAGCCGCCCGTTTCTAGCCGCCCGTTCCTAGCGGCTAGTCGCTAGCCACCCGTCGCTAGCTTGCCCGCTCCTAGCGGCTAGTCGCTAGCCACCTCTGCTAGCCACGCGCTGCTCACCGCCGCTAGCCGCTAGCCGCCAGCCGCCTCTGCTAGCCGCTGGCCGCCCGTACGCGCCAGCCGCCCGTCGCCAGCCCCGTCGCTCGCTGGCCCTGCGTTCGCCAGCCCCGCGCCTGCCGGCCCAGTCGCTCGCTGGCCCCGCGCTCGCCAGCCCCGTGCCTGCCGGTTCCGTCGCTCGCTGGCCCCGTGCTCGCCAGCCCCGCGCCTGCCGGCCCTGCGCCGGCCCGGCGCTCGCCAGCCCCATCGCTCGCCGGCCTGTAGCTCGCTGGCCTCGCGTGCGCCAGCCCTGCGCCTGCTGGCCCTCCCGTTGCCAGCTCCGCGCTCGCCAGCCCCTCGCTCGCTGGCCCTGCGCTCACTGGCCCCGCGCCCGCTGGCCCCGCGCTCGCTGGCCCTCGCTCGCTAGCCCTGCACCCGCCAGCACCGCGCTTGCTGGCCCCTCGCTCGCCAGCCCCGCGCTCGCCAGCCGTCGTGCCGCCGAGCCGCCGCGCCGCCGCGCCTCCGAGCCGCAGTGCCACCATGACGCCGTGTCACCGAGCCGCCGCGCCGCCGGGCAGCCATGCCGCAGTACTGCCGTGACGTCGTGTCCCTGCGTCGCCGAGCCGCTCGCCGCCCCGCCGCTCTGCCGCCCCCACCTGCCGGCCTTGGCTCCCCTCTGAGCGGGCGCTCCCGCCGGCAGTCTCCATCGCTCCCACGTCACATCTCAGCACCGCACTCCATCGCACTCCACCGCTCTTCACCGCACACCACTGTTCTCTACCGCTCTCCACCGCTCTCCACCGCTCCCCACCGCTCACCTCTGCCTCTAGTGGCTGTCAGCTGCTGTAGCTGTGGCGATGACTGACGGTGTGCTTCGCCTGGACGCGGAGGGTCGGGCCGTTGAATTTGAGGCGTGGCTCGTCGACCTCCGCCGCCAGCTGACCAGGCAGCGCCAGGACGGCCACTCCCTGGCCGTCCACGTCGACGGTAAGCTCCAACACCCTGCCCTGCCTGCTGCCCTCCCTGACGCCCACGTCTGCTGAGCGTGAGGCTTTTGCCGCTGCCGAGCTTGCCTATGCTGTCTGGGACTCGCGCGGCGTTGTTGCTCAGCTTGCCATTAGCCACGCCCCCCCCTTGTCCAAGCGTCCCCGCTTTACCACCGTAGCGAATGCCAAGGACTTCTTTGTCAAATGTAACTTAGGTTGTTACTGTAGACTATACTGGATTGTGCCTTAGAGGGTACAACACCCTAGTCTATATATCCTTGTACACACACATTCTAGTACAATCATTTTCTTTCTGATATGGTATCAGAGCAAGGTTAGATCCGCCCCTAGCCCGCTCACGCTTCCGCCCCTACGTTCCTAGCCGGCCCCCTGGCTGTCGCGCTTGTCCCTAGCCGGCCCCCCTGGCCGTTCGCGCCCGTCCCTAGCCGGCCCTCTGGCTGTTCGCGCTCGTCCCTAGCCACCCCTCTGGTCGTTCGCGCCTGTATCAGAGCAAGAGACACACATGCACTGAACTTGGAGAACTGCGCCACTACCTTGGCTTGCAGATCTCCAGGGACAGAGCAGCCCGCACCATCACTTTGACTCAGTCACACTTGGTGCGCCAGGTCCTTCAGAGGTTCGGCCTTCAGTCCTCCTCCACACAGCCTACTCCTCTGCCTCTAGACCACAGGCTCTCCGCTCCAGTTCCTGAGGAGTCAGCAGAGCCCAGTGGTCCTTACGCAGAGCTGGTGGGTTGCCTCATGTACCTGATGACTTGCACGCGCCCAGATCTCGCATACCCTCTCAGCATCCTGGCTCGCTTTGTGGCTACAGGCACACCCCGACCTCAGCACTGGTCTGCCGCTAAGAGGGTTCTGCGTTATCTTGCAAGTACATCGGGCATGGGGTTAGTGCTAGGAGGACGTAGGCCAGTGGTCTTTACTGGACACACAGACGCTTCTTGGGCAGACGACACCGAGACCCTCAGGTCCTCACAGGGCTACTGCTTCAGCCTTGGTTCACGTGCCGTCTGGTGGAGAGCTTCTTGCTCCTCGTCTATTGCCCAGTCCAGCTGTGAGGCCGAGATCTACGCCGGTTCCATGGCGGCACATTCAGCTGCGGTATTTCCTCCTGCGTGAGCTGCAGCAGCGTCGCCAGGCGCGCGTAGTACACTTGGCCTCCGGTGCCAACACAGCTGATATCTTTACGAAGGCGCTTGCGCCTAAAGATGATCAGCGGCACTGTGTACAGCTGGGTCTCGTTCCTGTAGCCTCTCACTTGCTAGGGCCTTGACTTTGTACTGTCCTTTATATATATGTTTTACCCAGACTGGCCTTGTGGCTGGACTAGTAGTGCCGCCCTGGGCTTGCTCTTGCCTTGTCTGTACTCCTTTTGACTGGTCTTTAGACCCTTGTCTCAGAGGCTGGACTAGTAGTGCCGCCCTGAGCTGCTTCTTCCCTTGTTAGGCACTGCCCCTATATAGTCTAGGGGGTGTGTCAAATGTAACTTAGGTTGTTACTGTAGACTATACTGGATTGTGCCTTAGAGGGTACAATGCCCTAGTCTATATATCCTTGTACACACACATTCTAGTACAATCATTTTCTTTCTGATATTCTTAGCTGTCATCGCGCGTTATTCCACCCCCACATCAGCCTCTGCAGGTCGCCTGATTCTCTTGATGCTGTTCCCTGACCTTGCGGCCTTCCCCACTGTCGCTGACCTTGCCACGCACCTCTGCGCACTGGAGACTAGCTAGTGCACTGCTAGCACTGAGGCACAGCACACTATCTTCCCACCGCTGCTCTGCTCTACCCTTTACCTCATTGCCATGCGCCTACCTGACCACCTAGCCACTTCGTGCGACCACTTCCTTAGTCACCACCCAGGTGACCTCACCCTCCCTGCCTTTGTCACCGCCCTGTCCGCGATAGAGACCCGCAAGCGCACTATCGCTCAGTCTAGCGATACTGTGCCAGTCCCTATCTTCCAGGGCTGCGCTCCCTCCCAGTGCACTTACTCCGACGTTTCTGCCCCTGCTGCTGAGATCACCGCCACGGCCTCAGCCCAGCAACGTCAGGGTAGGGGCCACCGCCCCAAGTGGGGGCGTGGGGGAGGGAAGGGTGGTGGGGGTGGTGGGGGTGGTGGAGGTGGGGGCGGGGACGGTGGTGCAGATGAGGGGACCGGGGCTGGTGCCCCAGAACAGTAGCAGCAGCAGCAGTCACAGCAGCAGCTGCAGTCGCTGTGGGGACCCCCGCCGCCGTGGTGGCCAGGTGGCACTGGTGGTGGTGGTCAGGGTGGTGTCCCACGCAGCTTGGTGTCGGGTGGCGACTCTAGTGTGACCACCTGCCAGTACCAGCTTCAGACCGGCCCCTGCCGCGGCACCGTCTGCGACCGTCCAGGTCACACCGCAGCCCGCTGCTACCGTCGCCTCGACGACCTCTACTGTCTCCTCTTTGGTCCCACCTCGCACCCTCCTGACTCGTACGCTCTGGCCCGCCGCCGTGTGCCCATCTTTGAGCTTGACATGGATCATATTAGAATTGCTATGTACAGTATGTTATGTATGCGAATGACTCTAGTGTGACCGGATCTTATTACCCTATGTTGTGTAGTATAGTTGTGCCTCTGATGTGTAGTCTAGGTTCCCCTGCTGCGTCAGGCGTAGGACCTCCTGTCTGGTTTAGCTTAGGCTCTACGCTAGCCCCTCTGCCAGCCGCCGCTACGGCACACGCTACTGCTTTGCTCTCTTTCATGCTCGACTCTGGAGTGTCTACCTGCTTTGTCCGCGACCGAACTTCGCTCACGCTGCTTGCTGCCCCTGCCGATGTAGCGCTTGCTGACCCCTCCCCAGGCCTGGAAATCGCACGTAGCTCCACTACCCTTCCCTGTCCGGCGGTCCCCTCGGGCTCTCTTACAGGCTTGCACATCCCCTCGTCTTCCAGGAACCTAGTTGGTGTCGGCTGTCTTCAGGATCTTGGCGTCACCACTACGTTTCCTAGACACGAGCGGTACACTCTCAGTACAGAGG